CGGTACAATTATCATTTTACATTAAGATAGTCCAACCCCGCGATTTGTAGTTGGAGAGGGCCGTTTGTTTAGCACCCCTCAGTGATGGCCAATATCTGTGTTACAAAAAGCTGCACTATTGAAATACACAATACTTAAAAAAAAAACACTTCGCACTTAGTATTTTATCATTTTTTTCTCATAAAGTACTGTAGTCTTGCTTTCTCAACAGGCATTGAGCATGTACCTATTTCTGGAAACGAGGAACATCCATCAACCTGCGTACAAGAATAGTCGTAGCTGGGAGAAATCAGACATTGGATTGTGAGCCACCAAACAGTGTATTCGCAAGCCAGGCCTTCCAAGGAGCATCTTGTTGGTGTTTGAGCCACGATAGCCAAGCGCTGTCTAGCAGGCAGAAGAAGTTGACAAAGAGCAACTGGTGCTGCACGGGCACGAGCTTGAAGTTGACAGTCTGGATGACGGGCCACACTGTGGCCTCTGTGAGGAACCCCGGGAGGAAGTCGCGGGCGAGGTCAGTGCGGATCTGGTGCAGCGAGTGGCCGGCCACGAGCCCCGTGTACGTGAAGAAGGCCGCCAGGTGCACCGGGCCGAACGCAAATGTGTCCAGAAACAGCTTCGCCGCCACAAACCGCATCGTCGACGGCCGCAGTCCCATGCGGTTCCTCACAAAGCCCTCCAGCCCCTCGTACCTGCCACACCCAGGCACACGCCGCGCGCCAAGAGCCGTGATCAATGAGGGCCAGGCTTGAAACACTGTGCTGTGTGTTAGGGCTTGCTACACAGAGAAACAGAGATGTGACACAGCAGTTTCAAAGTGTTGCAGGCAAACAGGGTGGTGAGGGACAGTGAGGGGTGGACACAAGGATGAGAGAGACTGCATGATGGGGGTGGAGAGAGGTGAAGAGGAATGGAAGGGGGAGGGGAGAGGGGAGCAGTGGGCGAGGGAGCGCGCACCAGTAGTGACCCAGCGGGCCCACGAAGCCGGCTCCGAAGAGCGCCGTCGTCACCATGCGCCGGTAGTTGAGCTGCTCCCCTGCCCGCGCTGCCACCGCTCCCGCGCCCGACTCACGGCCCCCCGCCACTGGCCCACGTGCGCAGTCCTGCGAGAAAGGGGGGTGATGTGAGCGGTAGGCGCGAAACTCATGTGTGCGCGAGCGGTGGGACGATGCAGGTCAAAAAGCTACAGGGCCTACGGCACCCTGGGGCAGCGCCCGAGGCGAGAGGGCGCGCACGGCACGCAGCAAGGGCGTGAATGATACGCGAAACCCTCGGGCATTCAATGGCGCGCAACGCGCTCGAGTGCGCAATGCGCCCGGGGCGGGCCAGACGCAACACGCACGGGCGGCAAGACGCACGAGCGCGAGAATCGCACGGGCCTGCAAGAGCACGACTAATCAGGCCAACGCACCCGGGCATGGTCGGGCGACGCAGCTCCATCTGCCTGCCGCGACCCCACGTTGACTCGCGCTGCCACGTGTGCATCGGCCACGTGTGCGTCGGCCACGTGTGCATCGCCCGCGTGTCGGACAGCCATGTGTCGGTCGATCTGCTGCGCGATGACGTCACCCGACCCCCACAGCACGGTAGACGTGACCACCTGCGTGCGGAGCGGCCGCCGCGACAGCTGCTGCTGGTACCACCCCCAGCACCCGCGCAGCCCGCGCCACGACATGCCGCGCACGCCGAAACGGATCGAGCTGCTGGCGAGAGCGGCCGGGCGCGTGGCGGTCGTGCTAGCAGCGGGAGCGTCCCATCCAGCCCGCTCCGCACTCACCCCCCCTGCCCCCTACCCCCCGGCGCACTCTACAGCAGCTCTAAATTCACTCGCACCCTAACCAACCTCCCCTCGGCGATCCGCGTTTCGCGATGGGCGATGCGACGCGCGATAGGCGACCAGCGACGGGCGATGAGTGATAATGACAACGGAGGAGCGGCGTGCTGATAGCAAGGGGCTATGGGCGATAGATAAGGCGAGGCGAGGGATCAGACTGGCGGAGAGCGAGAGTAGGTGACAGCGTCGAAGCGAAGCAGAGATGGCGTGGCGAGTGGTGGTGGTGAGATGGGTCACAGGTTCTCAGCTTGAGGTTGTCGGAAGATCTCTAGGTGCTTGGAGGCACAGTGAGATAGGAGACAGACGGTTTGTCGCTAACTGGAAGTTCACTCCAACCCTTGCTCATGTTGAGTTCGCAAATTCAAACACTTGCGTAAGTCAGTACACCTATATCTTAGGAAATGGATATTATAAATATATTTTCCTTCTGTAGCAATATTATTAACCCTTCCCATGTGGCAAGCCATTTTCTTAACCCTTTCTTGAAGAACAGAGCTCCCACGTCTGACAGACTCCGTAGCTAATGATGCAACTGAATTCCCGTGTCCCCCCATTATCTATAATAACATAGCTGTCTGTCTAGAAGGAACGGTCTATCTAGACATGGGAAGGAACTTGTCTCAGGCCTTAGCAGTGGCACGGTGCTTGATCATCATTTGCACGAAATCATGGAACACTGCACACCGCACAGGCAAAGCATAGGCAGTGCACGGAGCAGAGAGGCAAGTGAGCAGCTGTCACATGTGCACGTGCACATGCATGCAGGACAGGCCAGCAATCAATGCAGCTTGAGATTAGTAATCTTGCGCAATTTGGGCCTTGAGCTTTAACAAAAGGTGGTGCAATGATGTGCATCGGTGGTGTATCAGCGCACGTAGGATTCATGGGCTGTGCGGTGTGCTGCATGGGTGGTGCAGAGTGGTGGCAGTCTGACCTGGGTCGGCGTCATGGGGGCCAGGGGAGGACTCGGGGTGGTACTGGATGCTGATGACGTTGAGAGCCGGGTACGCCAGCCCCGCACACGTGCCGTCATTCAGGTTGATGTGTGTCACCTGCACGCCCTCCGGCAGACTCTCCGGGTCCACCGCGTAGTTGTGGTTCTGCCCCCGCACCGCACCGCCGCACACACCACACGCACCACACACAGGAATGACAAACTTCAGATGCATCCAGTACGTGCATGCCTGCATGCGCCAGGGGGAACGCTTGTATACCCAAGCTCACACACACCTGCATGTACATGCCTGTACCTCACACCATCCCCACACCCCCTCAATCCCACCCTCCGCTCTCCACCCACACCCCCCCATTCCCCGGCACGGACCTGCGCGCTGATTTCAACGCGGCCGGAGGCGAGGTGGCGCACGGGGTGGTTGCCGCCGTGGTGGCCGAACTTGAGCTTGAAGGTGCGCCCGCCCAGCGCCTGCCCCAGCAGCTGGTGCCCCATGCAGATGCCCAGCGCCGGCACCGTCCCCACCACCGCGCGCACACTCTCCACCGCGTATGGCACCGCCGATGGATCGCCCGGCCCGTTGCTGCAGGGGTTGGCAGGGGGACGGAGGGCGGTGGAGCAGAGGTGGAGGGGGTGGTGGTGAGAGTGACGACGAGTGCAATTGGGTGAGGGTGAGGAAGAGAGGGCAGGCGGGAGACGAAGGGCACGGATACGAGGGAGGGCGCGAGAGGCAGGTGGTGGGGAAAGCAGGGAGCGCACCTGAAGCGGTGAAGCGGATACACCTCAAGAAGCGCACCTGAAGAGGACACCGTCGGGGTTGAGCTTGGCGAGGTCCTGAGGCGGGTAGGTGGAGGGCACCACTGTGATGCGACAGCCGTACGACGCCAGGCGGCGCAGAATGTTGTGCTTTATGCCAAAGTCGTACGCCACCACCTGGGGGGATTTGAAGGGGGTATGAGGGGTGAGATGCATGAAGGGGATGAGCTGACTCACATAAAAGGCGTTGACTCACATGGAAGGCGTTGACTCGCGTGGAAGGCGTTGACTCGCGTGGAAGGCGTTGACTCGCGTGGAAGGCGTTGACTCACATGGAAGGCGTTGACTCACATGGAAGGCGTTGACTCACATGGAAGGCGTTGACTCACATGGAAGGCGTTGACTCACATGGAAGGCGTTGACTCACATGGAAGGCGTTGACTCACATGGAAGGCGTTGACTCACATGGAAGGCGTTGACTCACATGGAAGGCGTTGACTCACATGGAAGGCGTTGACTCACATGGAAGGCGTTGACTCACATGGAAGGCGTTGACTCACATGGAAGGCGTTGACTCACATGGAAGGCGTTGACTCACATGGAAGGCGTTGACTCACATGGAATGCGTTGGCCATGGAGACCTCCTTGGCGTCGCTGCTGAACTCCCACTCGCCCGTCGGGTCCACCCACACGTACGGCTGCTCACACGTCACCCCCGTTATCAGGTCCTTGCCTGTGAGCCATGCACGCACACATCAAAGCACAGAGGGAGCACATTGCACTCAGTTCTCCCATGCGAATGGTGAATGCTTCATATGCCCTGTGTGTCACGAGTGCATGCTGCCACGAGTGCATGCTGCCACGAGTGCATGCAGCCATCAGCATGACCGGCAGTGCTTGCTCACCAACGATGCTGTAGGAGCGGGCCATCTCCACCAGCTCCTCGTCCGACCTCTTGCGATCCGTTGAGATCACACCTGCCACCGCCACGCACACACTGTCACTCAGTCAACCGCACAGTGAGGGCGCACTGTCACACAAAAGGTACAGCACCGCCACAATGTACCCATGCACATCATGCATGCCCTACGCGCCATGAACCATGCAGTATGCACCATACTCCATGCACGTCTTGCAGATTATGCATCATGCACCATGCACCCTCCATCGTGCCCCCTCTAACAGTGCAAGCTGCCCCTCTCACCGTTCAAGCTGCCTCTCACCGTTCAAGCTGCCCTTGTCGCGCAGTCGCTTGGTGATGGCGCGCGTGTCGATGTCCGCTGCACCGCGGGTGGACGGTAGGAATGGGGGGGGAGAATTGGGGGATGGGGTTGAATATGGTGGTTGGGGGACGTGGGGATGAACGACGGTGGAAGGTGAGGCGTGAGCGTGGGTATGTGACACGTGATGGCGGGTGCTGTGCTGCCCCTCACTCCCCTCTTCCTCCCTCACTGCCCTCTTCCTTCCTCCCCCACTCCCCTCTTCCTTCCTCTCCCACTCCCCTCTTCCTCACACCCCTCGTCCTCCCTCACTCCCCTCTTCTTCCCTCACTGCCCTCGGCGTCACACTCACAGATGCCCATCATGTTGTGTTGCCGCAGGTAGTCGGGCAGAGTCTGCGACGACCGCCAGTTCGACACGCTGGGGACCGCCGAGGGGACGAGAGCGGGGCAAAGGAAACGGAGGGGACAAGGGGGCGAAACGGGAGCACAAGGCGTTGGTCCGCTGCATTGGGTGGTACACCGGCGAATGAGACTGCGGGCGTGCGATGGTGAGACTGTTCCTTGAAGACTGCATGTGAGAGTGCGCCTGTGGGAATTTGCCTGTCGGCGTGTGACTGTGGGAGTACGGAGCTTCAAACGCGCGCGCGCACACAAACCCACACACACCCACACCCACACACACCCACATTCTCCCCTCTCCACCTTCCCCCCCCTCCACCCACACACAGCACAGCGGCGACGACGCATGGCGGCTCACCAGTTGCTGATGCTGCGCACGACAAGCCCCGACGTGAAGCACGTGCGCGACTCCTCGTCCTCTGCGCGCAACCACGGCGAAGAGGGGAGGAGGAAAAAGGGGAGAGGAGAGGAGGGAGGGTAAGGGGGGGTGAGGGGGGATGTGCGCGATGATCGCCGGCGCAGTGACGGCTCCACGACACGGGCAGGGCGAGGGGCAGGGAGAAAGGTAGACAGATAGGGACGGGGGGGGACGGAGCAGAAGCAGAAAGCGGGTGGGGGGCGCGGGGAGCGGGCGGACCTTCGTTGATGCCGGTGTTGCCGATGTGCGGGCAGGTCATGAGCACGATCTGGCCGGCGTAGCTGGGGTCGGTGATGATCTCCTGGTACCCCGTCAGCGACGTGTTGAACACCACCTCCGCCGCCTGCGTGCCGCGCGCGCCGAACGACGACCCCTTCCACACCGACCCGTCCTCCAGCGCCAGCCGCGCGTCCGCCGCCCGCCACGGCCGCTCCACGTCCGCCGCTGCTCCGCGCACCGGGGGGAAGGGGGAGTGGGGTGGGGGGAGGCGAGCACGGGTGCAGGAGGAGAGGAGGTCCGAAGGCGGTGGGGAAGGGGGTGATGACGCTCGCGGGGAAGGGGGCTTCTTGGAAAAAGCGGTGGCATCGTCGGACATGGCAGCGCGCATCGAGGATGGGATGGCTGCCATGCCCCCTCGCGAAGGTCGGCCAACAATGCGGGCGCGATCTTTAGGGGCGCGCGCCACTTACGATTAGGCAGCTGAAGGTGCAACGAGCAGAAGCAACGAGCGATGAGTCACTGATGCTGGCGGAGATGGAAGCACAATGGTGGGTTACTCGTGGATCGCCGCGACTCACCGGCGCTGGCGCGAACGACGGTCGCTGAAGCCGCGCGCTTGGATGGCGCAGCGACGCCCTTCGATTTGGCGGCGACCCCCAGGGACTGCCCCAGCTGCGCGGAGGCGCACCACCCCAGCGCTGCCTGCTTGCCGCCACATTCGCTGGCCTTGATGGCGTCCCCCGCCCTAGCGACGGGAGCGAGGGCTGGCTGCGCCAGGTGAAGCGCGCTTAGTCTGACGGCCGCCATGGCGCCGATCGGATCGAGCGACGAGGAGGATCGGAAGACGAGGGCGAGTAAAGGTATTCGCACACTGCGCTCCCTTGGTTTGCTGCAGCGATTGCAGATCAAGGCTCAACGAAATGTGCGTCGTGATCACGCCACAAGCAGCTGTTATTTGCCTTGTGTTGCTCTCAGCAATGGTGGGAGCTTCAACACACACAAATGCTCTCGTGAAAGGGGCGACCGGAATGGGTGTGGGGGAGGAAATGCGCGGGTTCTGGGGGGACTTCCACTCTCACTGACTAACCACGTGACGCTGATTTGGCAGTGCTGACGAGGAAACGGCGCCGGTTGGTCCCTTGGATGGAATCTGAGGTAAGAGCAAGGGCGCAGAAAGCAACGCGTGGCAGTGCACCATGAAAAAACAACCAATCATATGCGATGGGCAGCCGAACTGTGAGGTGTGTCTCGGGCAAAGGGAAAAGTGGCGCAATACACCGCCGCAAAAACATTTTCCCTTCCCCTGAAACTGAGGGCGGGGCAGGAGTGCCCGTAGTTCCCCTTCGGCCACAATTTCAAGGGGCGAAGCGAATGGGGTGTGGAGACTGACTTTCCCCATCAAAGCTAGGTGAAGCGAGAGATGGCTGCAAATGTTACACCAAACCTGCAAGTCGTCATCGTCGCTACACGTTACTCACTCGCCGCAGTTAGCAAACGCGAACTTGATGTGGTTGGAAGGGGTCCTTGGAGCCCACCAGCTGTACACATAGGTTTGAAGGAGTTGCGAGTTGTAAGAACTCGTCAAGTTATGTGTACATCTTGTTATCACATCCTTGTGGATTTTATCGAGTATAACTCATGTGGGAACTGCTGTGGACAAGCAGATAAAACAAATCTTGAAGGCGCGTAAACACCAGCACCTGCGACAGTAGACCAAGGCGCGCGATGCGGGAAGTGGTGACTCTTCAGTTCGGCAGCTACGCCAACTTCGTCGGCGCTCACTTCTGGAACCTGCAGGTGCGCCTTCCACCATGCGCCTTCCACCATGCGCCTTCCACCATGCGCCTTCCACCATGCGCCTTCCACCATGCGCCTTCCGCCATGCGCCTTCCACCATGCGCCTTCCACCATGCGCCTTCCACCATGCCCCTTCCAACATGCGCCTTCCACCATGCGCCATGCCTCCTTCATTGCGCCCATGCCTCCCCGATTGCGCCTCCCCAATTTTCTGAAACCCCGCCGTCCGCGCATCTTCACGCCCTCCCTGCGTCCCTCCCTCCGTTCCTCCTCTTTTAGCTCTTCCTTCAAGCCCCACCCAGGCCCTCGTTTCCCCAATTCCCCTTCCTCGCGCGCCTCTCGCTCGGCCTCCCGGTGTGCGCCGTATCCGCGCGAGCATCGTCGTCCAACCTCCCAATCTCACACCCCGCGGCCCCTTCCCCCACCTGCCTCCGTCCTAGCTAGCTGCGTCGCCATGCGCAAGTGACCTCGGAGAACCGACCGCACCTTCTCCCCTCGCCCTCCCCCTCCCCCTCCCCATCCCCCTCCCCCTCCCCCCTCCCCCCCCGCCCCACTCCTTGCGTCGCGTCCAAGCCGGCAGTGAACATCCGTTCCCTTATCAACGCACCGCTTTCCTCCCCCGTGCCACCTGCTCTTCTTCCCCCCTCCTTGCAGGATGAGGCGATGGGGCGGCAGGGCGAGGGGAGCGCGGGGCAGGCGGGAGCAGGCGTGGAGGAGAGTGTGGTGATGCAGTGGCGGGAGACGCCAGGGCCTGCCGTACGCCGTGGGTGGGGCGCAGGGGGGTCGCGCCAGGGCGGGTGGGCTGTGGGGTGGCGGGAGGGGAGGGCTGTGGCATGCTGGGAGGGGGGTGTGGTAGGGGTGTGAATAGGCAGAGGGGCATATGATGGCGTGGGAAGTGCCACAGCGCGTTGCTCTCTGCGCTCCTGCTTCTCAGTCAATCTGCTCGATAGTCGTCTCACCAACGCCCTCTCCCATCTCTCCACCCCCCTCACTCTGTACTCTCCCATGCTGCTCGCTCGCCTTCACTCTCTCGCCTCGCACTCAAGCCGCCTGTTCTCCATCCTCCCCTGCCTCGCCCCTCCCTCGCCCGTGCCGTCCAGTCCACGCCATACTGCACGCCACGCCTGCTCGCCATCGACTATAAAGGTCCCATCCACCCCACGTGTTGCACATTGCCATGCCCATGTGCTTACTCACTGCCATGCCCATCCTTCTTTCCATCATTCTTCCTTCTATCCTTCCACATATCCCTCATGTACCCTGCCTTCTCGTTTGTGTATATCCCTTTCCACCTGCCCTGCCCCCTCGTCACACCACCCACCCAACGCTCTCCTCCTCCGCTTCTCTGCGGTGTGCTGCAGGCTGCCTTGGCCCCGTCTCCCTCGAATCGCCACTTGGGGCCGTCCCCCCTGCACCGTCTGCCATGCCCACATGGTCAGCCCCCTGCCCTTTCCACCTGTTCATCCTGCTTCTGTGCCTCCCCACCCCATGCACATGCATGCCTGTCATGTCATGCTCTGGAAGCACGCACCCGCCCACCTCCGCTCACCACCTCTTTCGCTCACACTGATGTGGCTGCCTCCCCTCATCCCACTCCCCTCTCTCCCCTTCTTCCCCAACCCCAACAGGTCCGGCCCCTCCCATGTCTCATCGGCCGCGCCTCTCCCCCTCAACCCCTTCCTGCTCCGCCTGCTGCACCCACCCCCGCCCGCCGCTCACACCGCCTCCTCCGCGCCTGGATCCCATGCCAGGGGGGAGGAACGGCATGAAGTCGCAGGCAGGCACGGTGGGGGGGAGCCGGGAGAGGAGACAGAGAGGGAGGCGGAAGGGGGGGAAGAAGAGGAGGCGGAGGTGGCGCGGGGGTTGGAGGGCGGAGTGGGGTACTGGACAGAGTACCTTAAAGCCCACGTGCGCCCCGCCAGTGTGCTGCAGCTGCCGGGCGGGTGGTGGCAGGGCGCGCTCTCCCCCCTGGACGCGGGGGGGTATGGCGACTGGCGCGAGGTGGGGGGCGGGCGGGAGGGAGAGGAGGAGGTGGAGGAGGGGGTGAGGCGGGTGGTGGAGGAGTGTGATGCGCTGCACGGCTTCTCCCTGCTGCTGCACGCCGCCTCGCCCTTTGCATCCCTCGCCACGCGCACAGCACTGCACCTGGCCGCGGAGTTCCCAAGGGCGCCCAAGCTGCTCTTCTCCCTGCGCCCCCCTGACGCCCTCCTCCCGCCCGCCACCCTCGCCCCCGGGCCCCACGCCCTGCCGGGCACGCCCTCACTGCATGACCTCTCCTCTGCTGTCTCCCTCGCCTCGCTGCTGCCCCTCACCTCCCTCATTCTGCCCCTCGGCCTGCCCTCCCTCTCTGGTACGTGCATCTGCTGCCCTGCTTGTTGTGTCTGCTGGGCTTTCTGCTGCTGCTGCGCGCTGTTATTCCCACACACAAAAGTCACCCCCCCCTACCAGCACACGCTCCACATAAGCGTGCTTTCTGTCTGGGATGCCCGGTGTCCTTGTGAATCGCTGATGCCGCCACGCCTCTCTCGTTCCGCCCACCACCCGCCCTCCTGCATCGAGCACGCACTCACCCCTGCGGCCTGCCCCACCCCTCCACCCACCCCCACACCAGGTGTGCTGCCCCACGTGCATCCCAGCGACACCTCTCTCTTCCACTCCTCTGCTCTGCTCGCCACAGCCATCGACGCCCTCTCCACGCCCTTCCGCCTCGCCCCGCGCCCCCCCGCCTGCGCCTCCTCCCCCGTGGGCGCCGTGTCCCTGAGGGACTTGTGCTCGCTGCTCTCCCTCTCCTCGCCACATGGCGCCCTCGCATTCGCCTCCTTGGCCCTGCCAGCTCCGCCGCTGCACGAGGCAGGGCAGCAGGAGGCGGCGCGTGGAAGCCCGCCATGTGGCATGGCTGTGCTGACGTCAGACGTGTGCAGCAACAGCAGCAGCAGAGAGGGGCGGGGAGGGAGGGGAGGAAATCAGCGAGGGACAGGGGGGCGGCAGCAGGGGGAGGAGGAGGAGGAGGATTTAGAAGCAGGCATTCGAGCACAGGTGGTGGTGGCACGCGGCGCGGTGGGGCAGCAAGCAGCAGGTGCGGTGGGTGGGTGGGGTGGGTGGGTATGGGTGCGAGGAAGTGAGGAGAGCGTGCTGGCAGCAAGGAGAGAAGAGCAAAGTACGATGGGGGATGGGGGGGGTGAGAGCGAGTGTGGGTGGTGCATGGGCAGGGCACATGAGTGCGCTGTGCATCACTCGCTCACTGCACTTCTCTGCTTCATTCATGGCATCTGCCCTCTCCCCTCTCCTCTCCCCTCCCTTCCCCACCCCTCCCACATGTCTGCAGGCCCCACCAGCACCGCCCCCACACCGCTACCACCAGCCTCAGCAGCAGCAGCCATCCATCGGGCCCTCCTTGCCGCCCGCCCTCGCGCCGCCCCGCCCTGCATCGCCCACATCACCGCCGCCCAGCAGCCCCTCGCCATCCCCCTGCCCTTCCCCCGCTTCTTCTCCGCTGATGTCAGCAAATACGGCCTCATCCTGCCGCCCTCCCGGCACCCTGCCAGCCGCGTTGCTTCCCTGGCAGGCGGGGCAGCAGCAGCAGCAGCAGCGGTGGCGGGAGGGGGAGGGGGAGGGCGAGTTGCGGCAGGAATGGGTCCGGATGTGGAGTGGGCGCCAGTGGTGGCGCGAGCAGCAGCGGGGAGGGGTGGGGCGCGGCACGCGGAGGTGCTAGCCGGTGCGCTGGAGTGGGTGGGGGGCCCTCGAGGGGGGGCGGGCAGGCAGGTGGTGGCGGCGTGGGGGGTGGAGGGAGAGGAGGTGCATGAGATGCGGGAGCGCGTGCTGGATGTGTGTGGTAGGCTGAGGGGGGACAGCTGTGCGGATGACAGTGACTGAGGCGTCGTTTATGGGCCGCATGCTGGGTGCATGCGCTGGGGCGCAGATGGCACCACACATAGGATCAGTGCGGCAGTGTGCTAAATGATATGCAATGCTTCATTGCTTGCAGTGTGTGTTGGTGAACTCTCTTGTGCAAGCATTGCCCATGCCTTGATGTTTTCAACTAGTACGGTTGTAGCAATGTATGGTGGTCAGAGCCCAGCAATACCCCTACAGAAGCATTCGTCCAAGCTATTGTCAATGATGCTTGTCCCCTATTGCACACGCGCACTCTCTCTCTTGCTGCCACAGCAGCCGCTGTGTCCTGCCGTGCCGCACTGCCCTCCCGCCACCTGCACCTCCTCACCGCCCGCCCTCACTCCCAGTCGTCCACATCAATCTCCTCTTCCTCTGCCTCACTGTCAGGTGGCAGCAGCGCCAGCACCACTCGCCCCACCACGGCCTCCCCTGCCCCCGACCCATACCGCTCCGCCACCTCCCCCCCCGCCACCACCACCAGCCCCCTCTCGCCCCCTCTCTCCGCATCCCTCACCACGTAGTAATGCCCGCCCTCCACCACACTCCCCTCCCCCCACGCGCCCTGCACCACCACCAGCACGGCCCCATCCCCCTGCCGCGCCTGCAGGGGCGGCAGCAGGGAGGGCGAGGGCAGCAGCAGCGCCAGCAGCGCGGGCACGCCCCTCAGAGCGCGCCACGAGGGCAGCGCCACCCACGGCAGCCCAGGCGCGGGGGAGAAGAGGCGGAAGGGGCCCTGCGGGGGGGGCAGCGCAGGCAGGAGCTGCAGGTCCGCGGCACAGGTCACCACGGGCATGGGCGTCGCCTGGGTCTCAGCGCTGCGCAGCCGCGCCACTGGCAGAGAGGGAGGAGTGGCGGTGGCAGCGGCACCGGGGCCAGTGGCGTGGGCGGCGGCGTGGGCGGGCGGCGCGGCGTCGGGGTTGCGGCAGCGCTGCAGAGCGGTGGAGACGAAGGCCCGGGCGGCGTCTGACTGCGCCACCTGCTCCGCCCTCACCAGCGCTGCCTCGCGCTCGGCGCGGCTGCGCGCCTCCCCGCCCTGGCGGTACGACGCGAACGCCAGACAGTCGCCCGGCTCCGCACTGTGGCGCGCGATAAGGGAGAGGGGGAGGGGATGGCGGGTTAGGGGTGATTGGGGATGGGGGATGAGAAAGGGTGAATGGAGCAGAGAGGTGCGAGGAAGAAGGGCAGATATCGCAAGGCTTGGGGTTTCAGCCAGGATTGAGGCTTCGCGTCGCCACCACGGCCTGCCCACCTGAAGTGGCTGCGGTCCGCCTCCCGCTTCCGCCGCTCGTACTCCTTGATCGCACGCGCCACGTCCCGCGCGCCCTTCCCGTCCAGCCCCTCGCGCGCAACGTACTCCGCAGCCTCCTTCCGCTGCGCGCCCGCCAGCACGCGCAGCTCGTACAGCGCCTCCGCGCCGCCCGCGTCGAAGAACGCCAGCAGCGCGGGGTCCATCTGCGCCGCGCTCAGCGTCGCGCGCACCTGCGCCGCCGTCGTGACGGCGCTCTGCTCCACGCCCGTCATGCCCGTCGCCTCCGCGATCGCCGCCGGCGACAGCCCCTGCCGCCCCAGCGCGCCGATGGCGGGCGCGTACTCGTACCAGAGCCCGCGCCGCTCGCGCACAACCTCTAGCAGTTCCTCTACCGATCCCAACCCCTCCTCCACCGCGCGCTCCGCCGGCTTTAGAAACGGCAGGTACATCCCGCCGCTGCCGCCGCCGGTACCCCCGGGGCTGGACGAGAGCGGCTGGCCGTTGAGCCCGATAAGGCCCTGCCCCTTGGGGACGCCACCGCCGCCGCCCGATGCGCGCGCGCGGAGGGGCGGAAGACGATGCGCGCGGCGAGAGGCCGCGTTGGCACGACCGAGAGGCGCGCGCGAGAGGTGCGCGGGGCTGAGGGAGTGGCGCACTAGGTGCGGCCTGAGCGCTGCGGCGTCCATTGCGGGCGGCGACAGGCGAGGCGCGGGGAATGCGGCCGCGAGGATGGGATGGGAGGCGAGAGTGGAAGAGAGAGAAGGAATAAGAGAGGAGCGATGAGCGAGGGTGGATTTACGGTAGCAGGAATCGCTCTGCGTGTGGATTCTACACGCGCGTTTGCGTTGGAAAGAAGAACTCTCGAATGGATCCAGGGGGTTGAGGGTTATGCACAAATGTGACCAGGTCCAATGGCACACTCACGTCATTTCAACAACACCCAGCACCACCACACTCCCAAGTCATCACTCTTCTTCTTCCCTCTCTCTCTCCCCCTCGCACCCCCCGTGCACCCTAGTTGTCGCTCGTGACCTTATTCCGCCCTCTCTGTGCTGCGAGCGTGACTGTCTGCCTCTGGCCTGCTCGCCTGCCCCACCGCCTCGTGCCTCGACTGCGCGTCTCGGGGGGCCTCCGCGCATCCCTCCAACGCGGATACCGCCTCCCCCCGCGCAACCCCTCGGCGCCAGCATGAGCACTAAACGTCCCCGCACAGGTCGGTCCGCTGTCGCGCTGCTTCCCCTCTTCGCTCCGCCTCCGCGCGCTCCGCGCAGGTCCAATTCCCTCGCGTGCCTTTCCCCGCTCACCCGCTTCCGTTTTCCTCGTGTCCCGCGCGCGTGGCTGCGCAGACGCGAGCGGCGACGGCGACTGGACGTGCCCGGGGTGCGGCAACGTCAACTTCTCCTTCCGCACGTCCTGCAACATGCGCAAGTGCGGCGCGCCCAAACCCGCGCCCGGCCCCTCGCTGATGCAGCCGCTACCGCAGTACTCGGTGAGCCCCCCTCGTGATCCCGCCGCCTTCCCGCTGGTGTCGTTCCCCCGCGCGTGCTCTGCTGCACCCGCGCCGCCCTGTCTTTGCGTGCCCCTCAGCCCCCTCGCCGTGCGCCGTCTCTCCACTGCTTGATCCCCTTGGAGCTCTCCTTCACCCTCCCCGCCCCAGCGTCCGTCTCAACCTCTTCCGTCCCTCTCTGTGCCCCCGCCCTTCTTCCCCCTTCCTCCCCCTCTCCCCCGGCAGCATGCACCGTCGGGGGCGGCGCCCGCCATGCAGGGCGATGCGGGCGCGCCCATGCACGCCATGCACGCGATGCCGCCCATGCAGCCGTTCGCCGCGCCCTACATGCCCGCCATGCCCCCCGCGCACTACGCCCCGTACCCGCCCATGCCCTCCCCCTCACCCATGTACGGGGGACCCGCCATGCCTCCGCCCTACGACCCCTCCGCGCATTTCGCTCCGCCCTACATGCCGCAGGCCATGCCCCACATGCCCATGCCGCCAGGTGAGCCCCCCCCTCCGCCCTGCCCTGCCCTGCCCTGCCCTCTCTCGTTACCCTCGCTTTGTCTCGTCCTTCCCCCCTGGCGCCTCTCTACCCCCTGTCTCACACCCCCTCCCCTCTCCCTGCCCCTCCCCCGTCCTCCCCCCCCTCTCCCCGCCCTGTCCGCGGAGCCCCCAGCGCACGCGTTCGCGCCCTACGCCCCCATGGACGCCTACCGCCCCATGCCCCCTGTGAGCCGCCCTCGCTGCTTCCCCCGTCCCCTTGTTGTCTTTCTGTGCCCCGCCCTCTCTGCCCGGCCCCTGTCCTCTACCCCGCCCAGTCCCTATCCCTGCCCTTCCCTTGCGTCATTCCCTTTACGCCATGCGCACCTGCGTTCCTCCCCCTCCCCCTCCCTCGCCCCCTCCCCCTCCCGCTCGCCCTTCCCCCTGGCAGCCGGACATGCAACGGCAGGGGGAGGGGACGGACGGGCGGAAGCGCAGGGGGGGACCAGAGGGGAGTGGGGAGGGCGACTGGGTGTGCTTCAAGTGCGGCAACACCAACTTCTCCTTCCGCACTCACTGCAACATGCGCAAATGCAACGAGCCCCGCCCCCCTGCCACGCCCCTGCCTCCTCCTCTCTACGTGCGCCCACCGCCTCTCCTCCCCCTCCCTCTCTCCTCTCCTCGCCTCCTCCTCCTCCTCTCTTCCTCTCCTCTCCTCTTCATGTCTCTTCAACTCCTCTCCTCTCCTCCTATCCTACTCTCCTCCTCTCCTCCTCTCCTCCTCCCCTCTACTCTCCTTCTGTCATCACCTCCCTCCCGCACACCGTGCTGTGGCCCTCATCTCGTCCACGCCTCGCAGCAAGCAACCCCACCTCTCATGCTTGCATGGCTTTCAATTCAACCCCCTTCGGCATTGCGCTGTCTAATTTTTGCTTCCTGCACTACCTCATCTCCTCTCCCCTCCCCTCCCCTCCCCTCCCCTCCCCTCCCCTCCCCTCCCCTCCCCTCCCCTCCCCTCCCCTCCCCTCCCCTCCCCTCCCCTTCCCTGCCCATCAACCCCTCCTCGCCCTCCTTCAACCTGTGGGCGCCCTGCGTGTGCCCGGGTGCCATGCCACAGGTGCACCCCGTTGCTCCCGCGCCTCTGCCTGCTCACCCACCTCGTGAGTCCCTGCTGCGCCCCTCCCCGTGCCCCCCATCCCCCCCCTCTCACCGTGCACCCACCACGGCTTCCTCTCACCACCGCCACCACCATGCACCTCTCTCTCTCGTCCCACCACTCGCCGCCATCCACTCACCCCCTCTCGCCCTCTCCATTTACGCATACCGCTGGCTTTCTCTCTTCAGCCATGCGCCCATCCTCCAAACCTCCTGCATCTGCCCTTCCACCCCCTCCCCCCTCAACCCCTGTCCCATCTGCCCTGCATGGGAGAGGGCAGGCGTGCAGGCAGCAGCACCGGATGGCAGCTGGGCGTGCAGTGAGTGCGGCAACGTGAACTACCCCTTCCGCTCGCACTGCAACCGCCGCCACTGCGGCCGCCCACGGCCCACCCACGACACTGCTGCGGCTGCCGGCAGCGGAGGGGGAGACGCCCCTGCCGCCCCCGCTGCAGCAGTGAAAGCGGAGGTATGGCACCTGGGGCTGGGAGCTAGAGCCTTTTCACGAGGTGATGTGACGAGAGTACCTGTCCTTCCGCTCATGATCGCTGCTGCCGACTGTAGCTCCCTCCTTGCCGTGAGGAGCGAGGGCGATTCCAGCCATGCCTCTGAACTGCCCCTCATGGTGTCCTGTTTCATCTCTCTTATTGTAATGTGTGCTTCCGCTCTGCCTTTGGGGCCTCTCTCTCGCTCCTTGGGGCTGTCGTGTACGCATTTTCTTAATTGAAGCTGTAGGATTAAGTTTGATGTTTGTTGCCATTGAGACTTTCCATTGTTCCAACGTTTGCAGTAACGCAGGCAGCATCAGCGAGGTCAAGATGAGCAGACGATGTGAGTATGTGTCCTCACATAACCACCCTTTCTTCTTATCATTCAACAACCACTTTTAACGGCCATACTGCCTGGGCCCCTTTTCACGCTTGCAGGTAAGTGTAGTAGTGTTTCCACGCCATGCGCTTGCATCGTTGCTGCTGTGCTTCGCCACTTCACCCCACCCTGACGGCCGTGTCCTCCTTGGTCCTGTCGTCTGTCTGTCTGTCTGTCTACTTTCTGCGTGCCGTCTGTCCGCCTGTCCGCCTGTCTGTCTGTCGTTTTGTCTGTCTGTCTGTCTCTGTCTTTCCGTCTGTCTGTGTCTGTCAGGGTCACGCGCTGCTATCGTGCGGTCCGGCAGCTCGAGTCTTGCAGTGCTGTCAACCACAGCCATGGCACCAAGGGGCACTTTGGGAAATAACTTCCTGTCATGAGCTTGCACCTAGGGTAATGTCGGCTACACCGTTGTCGCAAACGCCACCACATTGGCCTCATCTGCCCCATACCCGTGGGCGTGGGTCCTCACTAGTTTTGTCAGTGGCTGCATGGTTGACAATTATGTGTAGTTTGTGAGCACCTTGATAGATCGAGTGTTTCTGCTGTCTAAGCAGCGCGTGTTGCCCAATAAACTCCTCATGAAGTATAGTACCATCACCATGCAAGCTCCAATTGAATACATCGGTGTTACAAAAACGGTTATAGCCAGAACAGTATCCCAGTGTGCAACTGGCAGGCCTGGAGGCACGGGACAAATTGATTGTGATGGGTTTGCTGTTCTGCCCTCCCCGAGAGTGCGCTGGTTGGTTGCTCGGCTCACACAGTGTTTGGCCGAAGCTTGCTTTGCTGGCAACGGCAGCTTTGGACGACGCCTTTCCTTATTGGTCGGAGCTAGGGCCAAAAGCGCCTGCAGCAAGCGGGCTGGTTTGGTTTTGGTGTGCTTGTTGGGGTGGCTGGGACAAAGGGAGTGGGTGGATGCGCGATGTGTTGCGTCGCGACCAGACGATGTGATGCGGAAGCGGATGAGCGAATGATCATGGTCCTTCGCTGCAATCCCCCTGCGGCGAATAATGATGCCCGCCGCCCCCCGCTGCAACTCCCTGTAAACGGCAGGGCTCGGTAGGTTCGGGTCCAGGGCTGTCGATTCAAGGGCATATGCCTTAGCGTTTTCTAGCCAATCCCGTGTTTGTAAAGTGTCTAAGTTTTCACTTTGGGGTGCACCCGTGACCGTTAAGGGCGCCCAAACGCTCAGCTACACCCAAAACAGGGTCAGATGGGGAGGAGCTGGGGAGCGCAAGTATGGGCCCCAGGAACTTCGACAGGCCTGGTCGGGTCGGGTCGGGCTCGGCCGACCAAACTCTTCGCGAATCGAATTACAGTGAAGTGGAACAGAGAAGCAGAGGAAGTATTTTTTGTTTCACAGACACCCTGACTGGTGTGACGCTTCGGAGGAGAAATGAGGCTTTTTACCAACTTATAGCAACTTGTATTGCTGACCAGTGAGATTTGGAACTACGTCAGCAGGGGGTGGATTGGGTCAGGTTGTCACAACCCAAACAGGTTAGTCAGCGCTCCACTTGTTGCATCTGGAACCATCGTGGGGTTGCAGGGCAAGAGCAACTGTGGCCTGCAACATGGGTGGAGGTCACAACTTCTGCCTACTGAACTGAAACCAGGCAACTGTACAGTGAAATGCGCTTGATCTGATCTCATGGAAGACTCTGTTCTATTTCACCAGATCGAGTTTGTATTAGTAATCACCCATCCGTCCGTAACATTGGTGGTTCATAGGGGGTCAGGTTTCGAGAGACTCCATGACTCTGGCGTGTCTCCCAAATTGTAGACTCGGTTTTTTTATCGGGTTTTGAATCCACGAACCGAGGACTTCTGTCGAACATTCCTTACGAATCTGTAGATTCTACGGGTGTGATGCCCGTGGACAGGAATGTCAGGGTGGAAAAAATATCGCGGGCCAGTGTACTATCTTGAAGTCCAGTTGGGTTGTTGTGTGGTGTGGACTCAGGAAGTGCTCCATAATTAATTTCATGGTTGTGTGGAGTGGAGGTGTGTCACAGCGGTCACATGAACGGGGGTTCCTCCTGATTCCTGAATCCTGATATATCTTCAGCAGTGAGCTTCGTATGCAGGGCTCCCTGTACTTCCTTGAGCAGTGGAATATCTTCCTTGTACTAGGGTTGACATTAGTAGCTAACAACTACGAATGCTTGAAACTGGAAGCACATGGGAAGTTAACGTTTATTTTAACCACTAATAACTTTAAACTTTTTTGTCTTAACCTTCACTCGAGTGTTTTCTAGACGGTCGAGCGTTTTCTAGACCTTTTGGAGTGAATGAACCCATGCACACAAAGCTTCTGTCATTTTCTTTAAAAACCGGCTCGCACAATAAATGGCGGCCCGTCCGCCGTCATCGGACGACGAGCCGACTGCGCCGCCGCTGCGAGTGCAGATAGCGATGAACATGTACGCCATGGTGTCGCAGCTGCGCCACGACGACTCCCTCTCGCGCCTCCCAGACGCCGCCCTGCTCGAACAGTCCGTCGCCGCTGCGCGTTTCACGGAAATCATGGCCGCCTCTTCGAGGGGTGCGCGTGGTGCAGCGATAGATGCCGATTTGCAAGGGCCGTCGCCATGGGAGCAAGGCAGGCAGGTGGGGGTCGTAGGCGGGCTGGTAGCAGTAGATCCGCAGCATGATTTCCAGGTTGAACGCACGGACAACGACCCCGGGTCCTTGCGTGCTGCACAGCACTCCGCGCGAGCGACGGGTGTGATTAGCAGTCTTATCGGAGAAAGCATGGAAAGAGGCGTGATGGGCCAAAGTGAAATGGCAGTGGCGCTTTCTTCTGGACTGATGCCGCACATCGCGAGTGGGAATGGCGATGAGCGATTCAACCGAATGATTCTGAGGCAAGTTTGGCAGCAGCAGCAGCAGCAGCAGCAGCAGCAGCAGCAGCAGCAGCAAGAGCAAGAGCAGGAAAGGACGATGGAGCAGCAGCTCTTCCTTTTGCAGCAGCAACAGCAATGGCAGCAGCAGGTATTGCTTTCACAGAATGAAGTGGCAAGACATGAACAGGCCATGGTACTGCGACAAATGACAGCTGCACATCAAATGACAGCTGGACATCAGATGACAGCTGGACATCAGATGACAGCTGGACATCAGATGACAGCTGGACATCAGATGACAGCTGGACATCAGATGACACATCAAATGTCAGTTGCGCATCCAATGGCAGGTGGACATCAAATGCTAGCTGGACATCAGATGACACATCAAATGTCAGTTGCGCATATGGCAGGTGGACATCAAATGACAGCTGGACATCAAATGACAGCTGGACATCAGTTGACAGCTGGACATCAGATGACACATCAAATGTCAGTTGCGCATCCAATGGCAGGTGGACATCAAATGCCAGCTGGACATCAAATGCCAGCTGTATATCAGATGACAGGTGGACATCAGAGGACCCACCAACTGACAGCTGGACATCAATTGACAGCTGGACATCAGGTGACAGCTGGACATCAATCAGCAGCAGCACGCCCAGTGCACACTGTGGCACCGCATGCGTCCTCGTCTGGCATGCACTCTCGCCCCCTTGCCCGCCCTGACTCCGCCCTCTCACCGCAGCAGCAGCCCCGCGCCCAGCTACCCGCGCTGCAGGCGCACCCCGCGGAGGCTGGGGGGAATGATGCTGCGGGGATAGACGCGGACGAGGAGGGGGGAATGGACGACGAGGGGAGGGATGGGGATGAGGGGATGGGTCATGAGGGGGAAGAAGGGGGGGAGGGTGAAGGAGAGGGTGGGGACGAGGGCGGGGATTCACGGCAGAGGATGCGGAGGCGCGTGCAGGTGGAGCGAGTGAGGCGCCAGCGAGTGAGGTACCTGCCTGCCACTCCACCTCCCACCACCCACCTGTGCCCCACCGCGTCGCCGCTGCTGTCACGGCCCGCGTTAGACTCTCATCTCGCATCCACACATACGCCCTCCTTCCCCCGAACTCACCCTCCCTCTCTCCCTAACTCCCTTGCCCCCTCCGTTCTTTCCTCCCTCCTGTTGCCCTCCTTCCCTCTCTCCCTCCTTCGCTCCCTCCTTCCCTCTCACCCCCCTTCTTTCCCTCTCTTCCTCCTTCACTTTCTCCCTCCTTCCTTTCTTTCTTGTTCCCTCTTTCCCTTTCTCGCATGTTCCCTCCCTCCATCCCTCTCTCCCTCATTCCCCCTCTTCTTCACTCTCTTCTTACTTCCCTTTCTCCCTCCCTCCATTCCTTTTTCGTTCCCTCTGTTCTCTCACTTTATCTGTCTTCCTTCTTCCTTTCTCCATCCTTCCCTCCCCTTTTCCCCCTCTTCCTTGTTCGTTCCTCCTCCCCCCTCTCCCACCTTCTTTCCCTCCCTTCTTCTTCCCACTCTCCCTCCTTCCCTCCCTCATTTCCTCCCTCTTTCACTCCCTCCTTTCCTCCCTCCTTCCCTCCATTCTTCCCTCTCTCCCTACTTCCCTTCCTCCTTCCCTCGTTCCATCCCTTCATCCTTCCTTCCCAATGTCCCTCATTCCCTTCCCTCTTCCCTCTCTCCCTTGCTCCCTCCCGCATTCCCTCTCTCGCTTGTTCCCTCCTTCGCTCCCTCCTCCTTCTTTCCATATCCCCTTCCCTCCCTCCTTCGCTTGTTCTTCCATATCCCCTTCCTTCCCTCCCCCTTTCCATCTCCCATTCCTTCTTCCGTCTCTCCCTCCTTCCCACCTTTCCTCCTTCTTTCCCTCCTTCCCTCCTTTCTTCCTTCTCTACCTCCTTCCCTCTTTTCTTCCGTCTCTCCCTCCTTCCGCCCCTTCTTCCCCCTCTCCCTGCTTCCCTCCCTCCTTCCTTCTCTCCCTCCTTTGCTCCCTCCTTCCCAGTCTCCTTCCCTTCCTCCCTCCTACATTCTCTCGCCCCTCTTCACCTTCCTTCCATCTCTTCTTCCTTTCCTATCTCCTCCTAACTCCCACTTCCTTCTTTCCTCCCTCCTTCCCTCTCTCCCTCCTTCCCTCTCTCCCTCCTTCCATCTCCCCCTCCTTCCCTCTCCCCCTCTTTCCCTTTCTCCCTCCTTCTCACTCCCCCTCCTTCCCTGTCTCCCTCCTTCCCTCTCCCCTTCCTTCCCTCTCCCCTCCTTCCTCCTCTCCCTCCTTCCCTCTCTCCCTCCTTCGCTCTCTCCCTCCTTCCCTCTCCCCCGCCTTCCCTCGCTTCCTCCTTCCCAGTTTCCTTGCTTTCCTCCCTCCTACATTCTCTCACCCCTTGTCTGGTTCCTTCTGTCTCTTCTTTCTTCCCTATCCCCTCCTCCCTCCGTTCCTCCCTCCTATTCTTCCCCATCCACCTTTATTCCCCCTCATCCCTCTCTTTCCCCCCCATTCCTCCCTGATCCCCCCGATCCGCCACGTGCCGTGCGGGCAGGGAGGGGTTGCAGCAGCTGCAGCAGAGCATACCGTACGCGGCGGGCAACGAGGAGACCGCCTCCATGCTTGACAACGTCGTCTCATACATCCGCCAGCTGCAGGTGCGCCTCATACATCCGCCAGCTGCAGGTGCGCCTCATACATCCGCCAGCTGCAGGTGCATGTGAGGCAGGTGCATGTGAGGCACCAGTGGTACCTATCAGGTCCCAGCCGCCTGCTGCTTCCTCCATGTTCTGCTGTCCGGTCCGCTGAACTCTCTTTCCCCTCCCCCCCCACACCCCTCCCTGCCCCTGCACACCAACAGGACGACTGCAGCGGCCTCGAGCACATACTCGTCTCCTCCACGCCCCCCTCCTCCGCTGCACCACCCTCTGCCACTGCTGATCCTGCCATTGCCACTGCTGCTGCTGCTGCTGCCTCCCTGCCGCAGCCCCACGGCAGCGCCAGCACGCCCCTGCCACCGGGCGCATTCCCTCCCTTCAGACTGCCTCCCCACCCCCCACCGCCATAGCACAGCACCTGAACCCTGATCCCACAGTGCAAGCTATCGCCATCGCTGTAGCGTGCTGCTGCTCACTTCTTGCTGCCTGCGGACCACAGTCGTGTTGCTAAGGGGCATCGGCACTAGTGCATATAGCCATGCCATTATGCCTCTGTTGATTTGTTTGGTTTGTAAAAACCTTTTCCTTGTTAGTGATGCCTGGAATTGCAATGGTAAATCGCGTTTGATTACAGAGAATAGGGCAGCCGTGCCCACTGCCCAGTGCCATGGTGGAACCTGCTTTCTTTGCTTCTGAGGGGAACGCCCCCCTGCGCTGTGGCCTGCAGCACACGCAGCACAGCATGGTCACTGACATGACTTGCACTGCCCATGTTTCATGTTACGCTGCGACTTGGCTGCATGGCCTTTAGGCATTGCTATGGTATGCCAGATGCTCCTCGTGCCATTAATAGAAGAGTGCATATCTAGGACACCACATGCTACGGCACTCATGATCACAACTCTTCATTCAATACTTGCTGCCAGCACACCTCATAAGCTGTTGGTCTGTTCACCAGTCTGTCTGGCAACACGTGGTTACCACCATGCTTATGCGCACCCACCACCACCCGTGCCTTCCCTGGCACGCGCACTAGAGCCTCTACGCCATACATCACAGAAAGGACAACCGATACCGACCCCAACAGCACAGCCTGCAGCCTATCGGGGTCACCTTTGAAGGCAAGTAGGGCGGAAAGGGCAGCAAGGGTGGCACATACACTCATGCGCAGCACCCCCACGGCTGCCCTCACCAGCCGCCCATCCGACACCAGCTGTGGGCCTGAGGGGGGCAGCAGAGAGGCTGGCGAGGACGACAGGGACGCGGTTGAGTGCGGTGCTGCGTGGTGGTGGGAGTGGTGGTGCGGTCGTGCGCGGTAGAGGAAGAGGAAGTTGTATTTGTCGACAATGAGGCGGTAGGAGAAGAAGAGCAGTCCGGCGGGCAGCACGAGGGGGGCGAGGGGCGCGTGGAAGAGCAGCAGGCAGAGAGCCGTGGTGTTGTACGCGTAGTACTGCGCATAGTCAAACTGCAGCACGCCCCGCCGCTTCCTGGAAGACTCTTGTGCCTCTGCCCCCATTGTTGGTGCCTCCGCCTCCCCTGCTGGTGGCTCTGGTGTGGGGGACGTGCATGCTGACGGCTGCTGTGCTGCTGCTGTGCCGTCTGCTTGTGATGCTGCTGATGTGGGCTCTGCTATGCATGCAGCAGCGGGCAGAGGGAAGGCGTCGAGGGGCGTGCAGGGGGGTGGGTGGGCGGAGTGTGGGGCTACGGGTGCGCGAGTGGCGGAGGGGGAGGAGGGTGAAAGGAGAGCTGTGCGAGAGGAAGGGGAGAGGAGGTGAGAGTGAGTGGCTGTCTCTGCCTCTGCCTCTTCTAACAGAGAAAGCAACCCAAGGTCACTCTCACTGCTGCACACACTCTCTCCCTCACTCCCACTCTCTTCATCGTCCCTCGCCCCGTCCGCATCTTCAGCCATGTCATCCAATGGCTGTCCGCCACGTGTCTCAGCATCACCATCCGCACAACGGCCCTCAACAGCATCCCCTGGCAGCGGCACATAAGCACTGCTGTGCACCGCTCCAACTCCTCCCACTTGCTCCCTCCCCGCCACCACTGCTCCCACCCAACCTCCCAGCACTTCAAATCCACTGCCCGCATTCCCCAGCCCCACGCCCTCTCCGCCTGCTCCCGCCCCAGGCCCTGCACTTCCAGCCCTTGCAATGCGGCGCCAGTGCTGTGAGAAGCGCTCGCAGCAGCGCTGCACTGAGAGCAGCAGGCGCTGCAGAGTGAGGCGCAGGGAGAGGCGGCGCAGGGAGAGGCGCAGGCGGTGCAAGCGGGGGGCGAGCCAGGCGAGGGGCGCGAGGAGGTCAAATGAGACGCCGAGCAGCGCGGAGGTGAGGAGGAAGCAGAGCGCTGAGAGCGAGGAGGCCGGGATGAGAGAGGCGTTGAGCCAGTGCAGCACCGTGGGGCAGTGCGAGGAGAGCAGCGAGCAGCGCTCCGCGTGCAGTAGTGCCGCCTGCAACAACGCCTCCAGCAGTGCCTGGCGTGGAAGAGGCAGGGGGTGGAGAGAGTTGGGGAGAGGGGGAGGAAAGGTGGGTGGAGACGGAGCAACAATAAGTCAGTGTACGGTGGCACACAAGGCAAGGCATGACTTGGCAGGTTCCACTGCACACTCACACGCAGTTAGACAAGGAGACAAGAGCAGCAGCAAGGAGGCAACAGAGGGCAGCAGAGTAAGAGGGCGGGGATGGGGACGGCACCTTGAGCACGTATAGGTTGAAGAGGTAGAGCGCGGTGAGCTTGAGCAGCAGTGCCGCCTGCTGGCGCGACGTGGTGATGTGGCCCTCAAACAGCACCAGGCGGTGCAGCGCGGCGGGCATGACACCGTACATGGCGGTGAATGACAGCACGTTGGGCATGAACTGCAGCGCCACCGCTGCCGTGCCGCTGTTGCTCTGATGCACGGGCGCGCGGGGGTGGTTGAAAGTGGGAGGAGGGGAGAGAAGAGGAAGGGGAATGAATGGGGATGGGGAAGGATGGAGAGGGAATGAAGGGCTGTTGAATGTGCTCCCCACTGCTCTGGTGCATGCCACTCCATCCCTCACTGCCCCTGACCATCCTTGCTTTGCTTCGAATCCCACTTTCTCTTTCCCTCCCTCGAATCCTTCCCTCTCATTTCAACTCACGCGCGCCCATGTGAGCCAGGCATTGAGGTGGGAGAGTGCGGCAGTGTCGGCAGTGTGGGCCGCAGACGAGACAGCAGAGAGCAGGGCGAGCGGGCACGACCACGCACACAGCGCCGCCACCACGACCACATTCACCACCCACGTGCGGACACGTCTCGCCGCCCGGCTGCCGCCCACATTCCGCCAGATGATGCTGGCGGCGGGCGGCGCCCGCTCCACACGCCAGGAGGCGGTGGCGAGGGGGGCGAGGCGCCACCTGGGGGAGGCCCACAGTGCGTCCCTTAAAGCCCGTGTGGCCGTGTAGGCATCGCGGAACACCACCAGCGCCACCCCCGCCCCGCCCCCCCTGCCCCTCCGCAACAGCTGCGCCTCCCCCTCCGCCCTGCGCACCTGCTCCTCCAGCCTCTGCGCCTCCCCCCCCCAGTCGCGCACCCCCATGCCCCACAGCCATGCCGGGGAGGAGTTGAGGAGCAGAGTGCGCAGGGGGGCGAGGAGGTGCGAGGGGGTAAGGGAGAGCGAGTGCAGGGCGGTGAGAGGGGGGAAGCAGAGGCAGCGCAGCGCAGAGCGGGCGGTGTCGGGTGGCAGGAAGAGACGGAAGCAGGCGAGGAGAGAGGACGCCACGGGCCGACTTGTGCCACTGCCATGCCCCCCCATCCCTCCCTCCTCCTCTTCCCCCTCCTCCATCTCCCCTCCTCCCATCCCCTGCATGCCAGCTGGGCCCTGCCGGCCACTCCAAGCGATGAGTGGCTCGTGCACAGATGCCACGTCAGCACCACCACCGTCACCATGCACGTGTGCTTGTGGCTCCGCGCCTGCACCTGTCTCCACGCCTGCGGTGCCCTGCAGTGCGGCCCTGGCGTGTGCCTGGGCGAGACGGGCTGTGAGGGCTGCCACGCACCGCCTGGCTGCCAGCGCTGCCGCCACGTCAGGTGGCTGCAGCACCCTCGCCACCCTCCCCGGGTACAGCCTGTCCCAGTACTCCAGTAGTAGCTGGGGGAGAGGGGAGGAGAGGAGGGGTTTGCAGGACAGGCAGGGGAGGTGGGAGGGGGGTGAAAATGGGAGACAGGTGAACGGATGTGTGAGGGAGTGCGTGCGTGCGTGCGTGCGTGAGTGAGTGAGCGAGTGAGTGTGGGAGTGCACGAGTGAGTGAGTGAGTGACTGAGAGAAGGAGGAGGGCAGCAAGGGAGCACCTGAGGACAGGCTGACAGGCCTCTAGGCACTCCGCGAATGAGAATGGTGTACTCTGCCACGTCATGCGCTGTCATGTCCACGTCATCATCGCCATCAACAGCATCATCAGCACCATCAGCGTCCCCAGCGCCAGTGGCGCCATGGCGCGCAACGCAGTGCAGAGCAGCATACCCTTCCCGCGGGCTCTCCCCATCCCCGCTGCCCTGCCCCCCGCTTCCCCCTCCACCCCACGCCCTCCCCGAACCCCCTGCGCCGCCTGTGCCCTCCTCCCTGCCCTGCGATGCCGCCCTGGCGCGCGCGCGCTGGCGGCGGAAGGCGCGGATGGCGAGGTGCACGGCGGGGGGCAGCAGCAGCGCGAAGAGCGCGTGCAGCCAGAGCGAGGGCGCGGCGGGCGCGACGTGCGCGATGGTGGCGGCCGCCAGATAGTCGCACACCGCGGAGTCCGCTCCGCGCAGGTTGGCGGGGAACAGCAGCGCCATCGCCGGCACCAGCAGAGCCGCGATGAGCGCGCAGGTGCAGCGCTGGCGGACGGATTGGGGGGATGGGGGGAGCAGGGGAAAGGACGGAAGGGGAAAGGGGAAGGGGAGAGGGAGGGGGGAACAAGTTCAGGAGACGGAAGCGGGAGGGGGGCGGCCGGGGGGAAGAAAGGGGAAGAAGGAGCGAGTGGGGGCGGGCGAGGGGGGCGCACGAGGAGGATGAGGTAGTCGGCGGCGTCCGCTCCGCACAGCGTGACGATCTGCGCGTCCGTCACGTGCCACACCGCGCGCAGCTTCCGCCACGCGTGGCGCGCGGACGGCAGGCGGTGATCGGCGCGCAGCTTGACGGCGGCGAAGAGCGCCACGCAGCACACGCCGGCCGGCGCGCTCACGTTCCACAGGTACTGCAGCCCCCACGCCGCGCCCGCCCCGCCCGCCCCGCCCCCATCGCCCCCCCCGCACGTGCTGTTGGCGGGCGGCGGTGGCGCGAACGACATGGGCGGAAGGAGCAGCAGAAGGGGAGGGAGGTGGGCGGGGAGGGGCAGCGCGCGCCGCAGGGAGTGCTAGTGCGCGGTGGCATCAGGCAGAGAGCGTAGGGGGTGCGGGACGGGCGCGAGCGGAAGGCGCGGCGGAGAGGGTACGGTGGCGCGGAAGCAGTGGCGGCGCGGGGAACAGGCGAGGAGCGACCATGGCGAGTGGCGCACGCTCGCGACGGTGACGGCGGCGGCGGCGGGTTACGAGAACTGCGTTCGTTGAGATCACGTCGCACTGCCGGCCTGGCAAATGGGATTGGAGAGATCTGAGCGGCGCGTATGCGGCTCGGGAGGTGATTGGGAAGTGAGTGGTGTGTGGGGTGGGGATGCGAATGCGAATGTGTGTCAGAACAGACTCGCAGCGAGGCAGCATGAGCACTGGGAGGCAGTGTGGTGTGGTGTGAATTCTGAATTTGGTCATTTATAAATAAAATGTGGTAGCAGCATGCGTGTAGTGGTGCACGCGATTGCAATAGCGAATCTGTTAATGTCGCATGTTTGGCATTCCATCTCCCTCCCTCCTCATCCCTCCCCGCCATCCACCATCCCAGTGTGCGCACACTACAGCAACGCACCGCCGGGTCCGGCGCCGTCCTCTCCGCGGATGAATTCCGCCGCGCGCCTCTCCCCGCGGTGACCTGCCCGCGCTAGTTCTTCCTCCCTTCGCCCGCTCTCCGTCCCCTTCGCGCGATCGACAGCATGCCTCGCGCGCATCATCGCAGCACACTCGCCGTCGCACGCCGATTCGTCGCAGCAGTCGCTAATGTGCGCAGCGACATCGCCCCGGGCAGCGCGCGCACGCCGGCGCTGATTGAGCTCTCCGCGCCCCCGCCTCCCGCCCCCTTGGCTGCTACTCCCGCACATTCCTTCCGCAGCAGCGCGTTCCCCGCGCTCAGGGGCGCAGCAGGGGGGAATTCTTCCCGCCGCGGCCTCCCCACACATGCTGGCGCTGCGCTTTCCGCCGCTGCGGCGGCTATGGCCGCCGCGGTAGTGGCGGGGGTGGGACTAGGGGCGCACACGGAGTGCGAGGGCGCGGAGAGGGGGAAGGGCGGAAGCGAGGAGGGAGAAGAGCAGGAGGCGGTGCGCACGGAGAAGGGGGAGGAAGCGGGAAAGGGGGAAGTTCATGGGGAGGGGGTGGCAAAGCGAGGGGCGGTGGTGAGCTTGCTGAGTGCGGAGGTGCGTGCGGGGCTGGTGGCGGCAGTGGGCGAGGAGGGCGTGGAGGAGGGCGAGGAGGAGAGGCAGAGCCACGCGAAGCCGTGGAACAGCTACCACCCTGTCTCCGCCCTGCCCGCCGCTGTTGTCTTCCCCAGGTCACTCTCCCCGACCCTGCTGCCGCGCTGGCCCATTCACACCCCCCCTCATGCCTCCCTCACGCTCTCCTCATGCCTCCCTCACGCTCTCCTCATGCCCCCCCCACGCTCTCCTCATGCCCCCCTCACGCTCTCCTCATGCCCCCCTCACGCTCTCCTCATGCCCCCCTCACGCTCTCCTCATGCCCCCCTCACTTCTTAAACCGCTTCTGGCATGTGGCATGTGTGCTGGCATGGCATGGCATGGCATCAGGAGCACGGAGCAGGTGGCGGCGGTGGTGAGGGTGTGTGCGCAGCATGGCGTGCCGGTGGTGGCGTATGGGGGAGGCACGTCACTGGAGGGCCACACCACCACGCCCATGGGGGGAGTCAGCATCAACATGACCCGCATGAACGTGAGTGCATGCACTTCATGCTCGCCTCGCTACCTCACTGCACTCCATGCTGCCTGCCGCTCTCAACCATCATCACGCCAACACCCCAACTGTCTTCCAACTCATACCCAAGGCGGTCCCTCTGCACTCTCTCCCTCTGCCCATACCCCACTCGCCCCACTCGCCGCATGGGCCCGCTGCCATCCCTCCGCCCAACCACCCCCAAATCCCTTCCCACAGCAAGTGCTGGCAGTGCATGCAGCGGACATGGACGCGGTGGTGCAGCCGGGCATCACGTGGGGCGACCTCAACACACATCTCGCCCCACTCGGCCTCTTCTTCCCGCTCGACCCCGGCCCCGGCGCCACCTTAGGTGGCATGGCCGCCACGCGCTGCAGTGGGTCACTGGCGGTGCGGTACGGCACCATGCGGGACAACGTCATCTCGCTGCAGGTGCGCACAGAGCTTCACACACCGCATCTGAGACCTTTCTCAGGCCTTCCTGCCCTGCACCACTGCCACTGCTCCCCCTTCCTCCCACCGCCACCTCAACCTTTCTCTCCGCCTTTTCCCTTCCCTACTCCCACCCTCACCATTCCGCACCACACCACACCACCTCACACCACTCTCCCCCCGCCCCCAACAGGCAGTGCTGGCGAGCGGGGAGGTGGTGCGCACGGCAGCGAGGGCGCGCAAGAGTGCAGCGGGGTATGACCTGACACGGCTGCTGGTGGGGTCCGAGGGCACACTGGCTGTCATCACGGAGCTCACTGTGCGCCTGCACCGCATCCCACCGCTCTCCGCCGTGGCCATGTGCCCCTTCCCCTCCATCCGCGCCGCTGCTGACGCTGCCATTGCCACCGTTCACAGCGGCGTGCAGGTAAAGGGGGGAGGGGGTGATGAGAGGAGGGGAGAGGGGTGGGGACGGAGTGGGAGGAGGGGAGGGAAGGGATGTTGAGAGGGAGAGGGGTTGTTGAGGGAGGGAGGAGCGGTTCGGGGGAGGAGGGTGGTGAGGATGTGAGAGGGTGTGGAAGAAACATGGCAGTGGGGAGGTGAGAAGTGGAGACCATGGGCGGATATGAGTATGCTTCCCCACCATTCCCCACCACTCTGCAACCTTTTTCCACACTCCCCCCAACGCCTTCCTCCCCGCCCCTCCCCTCCAGGCATCGCGCGTGGAGCTTCTGGACGAGGTGATGGTGGGGGCGTTCAACAGCACCACCAGCACCACTGGTGGGGGCGTTCAACAGCACCACCAGCACCACTGGTGGGGGCGTTCAACAGCACCACCAGGTTACATTCTTGAGACGACATAAACGCCCCCACCCCCTCCCCACCAGGCATCCCGTGTGGAGCTACTGGACGAGGTAATGGTGGGCGCATTCAACAGCGCCAATGGGTACTCATACCCGCACCGCCCCACGCTCATGCTCGAGCTCACAGCCGACACCCCCCAGCACCTGGAGCAGCAGCTGGCGGCCGTGCGGGCGGTGGCGCAGCGGCACGGTGCGGAGGAGATGCGGTTCGCGGAGGGCGAGGAGGAGAAGCGCGAGCTGTGGCGCGCCCGCAAGGAGGCGCTGTGGGCCGCCTACTCCCTGCGCCCGGGCACTGAGCCCCTCATCACCGTGCGTGCCTGCCTGCTGTATTGTTGTGCGAGCGAGGGAGTGACAGCGCCTCATGAGTATGGTGGCATTATCATCCCTCGCAAGAAGCATGTTAGCTACCCATGCCGCCATGCCCCCCTCCGTCCGCATTATCTCTGTACGCCCCCTTCCCCCCTCCTTCCCTCTTGCCCCAATCCCTCTCCCTCTCCCTCACCCACCCCTCCTCCCCCCTCGCCCTCTTATCTGTGTGGATGCAGGACGTGTGTGTGCCCTTGTCGCGCCTAGCAGAGTGCATGGACGCCACCAAGAGCGATGTGCAGCGCTCCTCCCTCCCCTGCCCCATGCTGGCGCACGCGGGCGACGGCAACTTCCACGTGTGCATCTTCTTCGACCCCGCCAGCGCAGAGGAGACTGCCGAGGCCAAGGCGCTCTCCGCTGACATCACTCTCAGGGCGCTTGCCATGGATGGTGGGTATGCGAGAGGGGTGAGGGAGGGGTAAGGGGGAGAGGAAAGGGCAGGGTGGTGTGGAAAGTGGGGTGGTAGCTGCATACCACTGCTTGCTGTGTTGTGGCAGCGAGGCGTGGCTTGTGAGTCATGGCGAGCTGTAACTGTCTCCCTCTCTGTCCCGTTGCCCCCTTCTTCTCAGCATGTGGCAGCACCACTCACGGCATGGCATTACTCATCACATCCCCCCACATTACCCCATCCGCCCATACAACAATCCCCCCCTCGCGGCCTTCCCCATCCCACGCCCATGCCCCCATTGCCATGCAGGCACGTGCACGGGGGAGCACGGGGTGGGCGTGGGCAAGACACAGTACCTGGAGAGGGAGGTGGGTGTGGGGGCAGTGGCGGCCATGCAGGCAGTGAAGGACGCTCTGGACCCCCAGGGTATTCTCAACCCAGGCAAGGTGCTCCCACCCCGCCCCCCCTGCATCTCCTGATTCCTCACACGCCTCCTGCTTCATCTCACCACCGTGCTGCCCATTGTATTGCAAAGCATAGGTAGACAATGACTAGACCCCACCTTGTTGACCCTGGTGTTTTCCCAATAAATTACATTCTCACTCATGGAACGGTAGCCACTGTTGGGCTGAGAAAAAGCCCTTAGGATCTTTGCAGGAGTGAACTCTAGGTAGGACTTGTTGTAATTAGCGGAAGCGTTTTAATGAAGTATTGTGAACCACCTTGCGCTAGTATGTGAGGGCAAAGTTGATTAATTAAGACAAAGAGATACAAGATTATATAAGAGTACAAGGAATATGAAGGGATACGGTTATAACTGTTTTACTGTTGCTGTTGCGGTTCGATACAGTGACGACTCGGGCAACTGCTCTGTAGCGAGTCAGTTGTGTGTCCTTGCTGTCGCGCTGTATTTGTCAGGTCAAAGGTCGCTGACCTTTGACTTTCGCGTAACCTCCAGCGGTTACTTCAACCTCCGAGGGTTGACTCGCTGGTGCCTCGATATGCTTTGCTTCGCTTGTGTCTTGGTGTTTCGACACGACAGAGGCGCTTAAGACTGATTGTTTCCAACACTCCCCTTCGCTTCTGGAGTGTCGCTGCTGGTGACGTGGCTCTGTCCAGTCAGCAGCATGCAGTACTCGAACTTCTGCTTTCCGAGCTTCTTGGTCAGGTAGTCAGCTGCCATCTCGGACGTGGGGCAGTATGACAGCTC